GTCGAAGAAGCCATGCACAAAATCTGTTTAGAAAAAAAAGGGGTGGGGGTGGGGGGAGATAAAACATTCATAACCCTCATCGAAGAGCGAACTTAAAATAGTAACGCCCTTTGCATCGAAACACTGCAAGACTAACTGTTGATATACACTAAATAATAGCAGCCGTCACAAATGTTGTTCCTGAGTGGGAAGAACTTTTATTGAGTAATTTGGTCTTTCTGCTAGGATGTTGCATCCCTCTCAACCTGGATTGGCCCTGACAGTCAAGGTCAAAGCCCATCTCTTAAATTATATGAATTACGCTGAATGAAGGAATCGTAAATACACTCATATTTCAGTTTTTTTAAGAGAGATAAAAATCCCATAACAACAAAAACAGAACAAACAAATCGTGTGTGAGTTTTACCAACGCACTTTGATGGGCAATTCAGAAGGTGACATTAATTATTGATTTAAAAGGCAGGTTGATATTCTGCCAAGACACCCGAGTATCCATTTTTAGAACTCACCCACGATGGACCGGTTAAAAGAAGAGAGCCGGACAGCGTATACAGAGAGTTTTCTTTTTCTTTGGTTAGTGTTTTAGGGCGCTCGTAACTTCATAAGGTCATATTAGTGCGCTGGACAAAAATGAACAGTCAAAAAAACCCCAACAACAACAAAAATCGTATTAGTGCGGTTAGCCTAAAAGTGCAGGGTCACGAAATTTCCATTAATGTGAGTTGCTTTGACCAGCCAGGCAGGACATATTATGGTATCTTTGAAATCTGACCACAGGGAGTAGATGGCAGATAAATTCCACGGTGTTGGGGTGCGTATAAATAATAAAAAAATTATCTCAAAATTGTTCTGACCACAAATCGTTGGACCGCTGGCACCATAGAGGAGGTCTATTGCGCTATGGTTACTTGTGAAGTGGTTTTTTAAAAGAAAAACAGTTTCAGAGAAAGGCGGCATGGAGGTGGTCGAAATGAAGGTAAAATAATAATAAGAAGAAGAACAGAGTAAATGTTTTGTGTGTAAAAGTTGGGGCATATTTTGTGTTTGTGAGTGAGTTAGTGAGTGTTTGTATATATATATATATAC